GGTGCTGGTGGATCTCGGTGGCCACTTCCACCGCCTGGCCCTGGAATCCCGTCCGTCCGCGGCTATACGAGGACCCACGACATCGGGATGGAGACGGGCTCTGGACCCTCATCCGGCTGGAGCCGCTGACGCTCAGGCTCTTCTGCGAATACGACGAACCTCTCATGACTTTAGACTCGGAGGAAGGTTTGGCTCTCGGTTCTGCTTGCTGACTGCAGGCGGAGACGCTCGTTGGCGTTTATATGGGCCAGCCAAGAATCTTGCAGAGTCCCTTGAAAGTCTTGCAGGGTTTTGTCATGTTTTAAAAGCGGATCATGACGCTCCTGCCAGAGTTCGAAGGCCTGAGTTTCTCATTATCTCACGTATCATTGTCATCAATTAGACGTTTGGAGGCCGGCGGCCCTCACGCTTCAGTGCCACATAGCCGGCGCGTGCGGGCAGCACTATTTCTCCAGCTGTAATCTCAGACTCACTGTTTCCATATAACCTCACACAGACGCGCAGGTCCTGGAATTCATGTGCTTTACAAATAAACAAGCACTTTGGCACTCCTGTTTTTGTCAGGGTCTGTGGAATCCAGTATTATTGAGAAACTATTATATATTAATAGTTTAAATTAGTTTTTATTTTTTCATTTTTGTTAAAGTTTTAGTAATTTAGTTTAGCGTAAGTTTATTTATTTTTTTTAAATGTTTGTTTTCTATAATTTAGTTTTTAATAATTTCTATTAGTTTTTAAAATGTCTATATAGTTTTTATATTTTTTCTTATAGTTTTAGTCATTTTGTTTTGTGTTTTTGTCATTTTTATTAGTTTTTAAAAAATATTTCAATACAGTTTAAATTTTTTTATTTCAGTTTTGATTTATTTTAGTACATCAAGTTAAACTAAATGAAAATAATAATTGCTTCCTAGGCAACTAGCTGACGTTTTAGTATTTTTAATATTTCATATGGTTTCAGTTAACATTTTATTTGAAGTATTTATCTTGTTTTTAGGTTTTAGTGTTAGTGAACTATAATAACCCTGGAATCTCTTGTAAAGCACCATATATTCGTCTTCTTTTTTTCTTGGTCATCTTTCATTTTGCAAAAATAAAAACATTCATATAAATGAATCTTGAATTTAGACGTGATATGGATTACCTTGATTCAAATAAAAGTGCTCATTTTGATACTCGGTTTGAGATTGTGAGTCTTTCATGTCTTGATTAGTTTTTAACTGGTAAAGCAAGCTACTTTACAATCAACAAAGCCGCTAAACGCTTTCTTTCATTGCTTGATTTGAGTTAAAGACTGAATCTGACACATGCTGGAATGAGATGGTGTCATGAGAATATAATGACATCCTCAGCGTTTCACTGACACTGACTGATGAGTGTTAATGGATGTTGTGTGTGTGTGTGTGTGTGTGTGTGTGTTTCTTTCATTACATATTGGTATATTGTCTCTTGTTTTTATCTGAAGATCAGACGTAACACTGAGAGTTAAACCTGATGCAAACGTTGGCAGTACTTTGAGACGTGGATGTTAAAGATCGACAGTCCCATTCTCTTGTATTTTACTCACTGCCACTCAAACGTTTGGGGTCACTATGACATCTCTTATGTTACTGTCCCCTAGAGGTCAAATATCACGCAAGAGGAAGTGAGGTCATTTGGAGGTGTGGCCATAAAAATGGAGCACAGTTTTCAGCACGTGCATCCGTAACCTCACCTGGTTCATGTGAAAGTATCATACATTATAAATATATCATTTCAGTTTTCAATTCTTTAGCTTTTTTTAAAACATTTTTGAAGTAAGCTGATTTGTGGCAGAGTGTTTTTGTTTGTTTTTGCCCATTGAGTCGAACACTACACAACCTTACTCTAGTAAAAACCCCAGCTGAACTGAACTCAGAAGTGTTTAAGCACTACAGAAGTCAAGTGACTGGCCTTCTGGAGTTCTGAGGCCTGAAGCCTATGTTTGTGGATCTGAAGACATGCGGAATGTGGAAATTACTGGATATTTTTGATGCATGTTCGTTATTGTAGTGCATTGCTTGATTTGACATTGGATTGTGATTTATTGATTGACTTTTAGATGCTTTTTAGAGTTTTACTGGTTCCTCAATGTGATGATTGTTGGACTCATCAAGCGCCCAAAAGACTGGGACAAAAGCCCTTCGAAATTGTTTAAAGAATCAAAAAAATGTCTGTCGCCTCACGTGAAGAGTGCTTAAAATATGAATGATAATCTGTAAAATGTGTAACATTATAAACTGCATTGGATTAGTTTGGAGAGTTTTGGGGTCTAAAGCTTATTTTTGGCCTGTTGTTTGTTGAAGAAGCGGCGAAAGGCTTTTCTGATGTTTAGAGTTCTGAAGTGAGTGAATAAACTCCAAGCAGATAAAGACTGGGTTTGTTCTAACGCTCATAATGTCTGGCAGTCACTTTACAGACACAAACAGAGATTTTGCAAACAAACTCACTTTATAAAACATTTAGTCATTTTGCAAATAATTCTTCAATCAAATTCTGACATCTCGGTCTTCATGGTTGTATTGAATATTTTTATTTATTATTATTATTTATGAAAAGGGACCATGCACAATTTTAACATAAATGTTTCCGTTTCATGCATTGTACTGGATTTAGCCAAAGGCAGGTAATCACTAACATAAAACATTCAAACATACATACACATACAGGTGCATCTCAATAAATTAGAATGTCGTGG